GTTAATGCATCAAAAAGAAACGTTTGATGGTCGAAACGCATCAAAAACGTAACTTTTGTATCACTTAATGCGTAGAATTGAGTGTCTGTCGCTACGCTCCAGACAATAATTGGTGAATTTTTACTCATTTCACATGATCGTACTAGTCCTTACATGCTGCATAGCTATTCTTATTTCAGCAGTTAAATTAATTTCAACAGTCGGATTAATTTCAACAATTGAATTTAATTTAATTTCTACGGTTGAAATATTCCAAATTACATCCAAAAATGCATGTATATTTTCGAATGTGCGAACTAATTACAATAACAGAACCAGATTTAGGTTTAATCTGATTACAAAGAATGCATTTGGTTTTAAACCTTTTTTATCAGGTTTAACTGGATGAAAAGCTTGCCAGAGAATAAGGTTCATGCCCCTTCTGGACACTTCACGTATCCGATCTTGTGCCTTCCGTCCTTTTATGCGTTTACTATTCTGGGGTTTTGTGGTTAACTTCCTTATTCTTACGTGGATCGGGTCACAACACCCAGAGCCCCCTTTTATCACTATTGGTCAAGCTTCTACTTCTCCTACTTCTTACTGTTCGTTCCTCTCATTGGCTTAATGGAAAATACCCTCTCAGATTTAGCTACTCTTGGTTCTGACCATTCGTCTTATAAGACTTAAAAAAGAAGCTACGTTAAAATAGAGGATAAGGTTATGTTTAACGGCACTGTGCCAGCACTTGGAGAACCCTACCAGAGATAAACAGTGGAAGTTTGTAAAGTAAATATTGAATTTGTAAATTTGGTAAAGGCAATTTTGATCTTGTATATAGATATAACATTGGCGCTCAAACAATTGACCTTTTTATTAATTTAAAAAATTATTTTATATACCAATATATATAATTTATTCGTAATAGATGAATTAAAAATCTTACCTTAGAATTTTGATTCGATCAAGTAACGGAAGTATCGTTGAAAAAGAATAAAGGTCCAATAAAACACATACTATACTAACGGAATTTTTTTTTGTTAGAACGCGTAAGGGGGTTTTGTAAACAAAATTTTAAGTTATTGACGATTTTTGAAAAACTTCGATTTTTTTTTTGGAAATTGTATGTTACACTTTATCTTATAATTTGATTGATAGCGAAGAGTGGCGTAGTCTAACTGGTGGGGGAATTACGGAACTCGTGATAAATAATTCTTAAATTATGCATAATATGTAATAATTTACAAAATTTTTAAGGACTTAAATTTAGCTATCATTTACATAAATTATTACATTGTTATTTCTACATCACTAATTTGGAATAACTGTCAGAATTGGTCAAGAATGGATGGATAGATACTGTATAGATATCACCTATACCAGTGTTGTTACTGGAAGACTACTGGAAGATCACTGGAAGTAAAATCAATAGTGCCACTGGAACTTTAGGTTCCAGTGACACTATTGATTTTACTTCCAGTGGCCTTCCAGAGTGACAACACTGACCTATACTTATGTTACATATATCTCTAGTTAGCGTTGTGCCTGGTAAATAATAAACTAGATAAACAGTTTTGTTAATGTCTAGAACGTTTATAAAACTTTATTGTCTAAAGAACATTCGGCATTATAGATAATAGGGATTGGAACCGTTTAACCGTTTAAAAATTGGACCATAATTCGGGCAGAATTATGTTGGTCGCTGGCCAAATTAAACGGTTAAACGATTAAACGAAGTTAACCTGATTGGTTAATTTTTATGGATTTACCCGTGATCACCCGTGATAATGAACCAATCAAATTGCATGATTTTTAAAAGATATCGGTTTAGCGTTAATATTTCTATATAGATATCCAGAATAACACCAAGGCAGTTATTTTTGTTAGTAGTTGGTTTGGTTTGGTTCATGTTAAGTTCAAAGCTTTTTTTTCTTTACCTATATTAAGCCAACATTTATTCGGCATTCCTTGAAATGCGTCCATTTTTATTTGTGTAACTTTAAGTTCACAAAAAGTATAAAATAAGCTACTCAGGCAATTGATTTACATTAGCCCAATCAAACAACCTATCTATTCCGCGTGATGTGCGGGATTTCGCATTAACGTACTGTACTTACCCAAATCGCAATGGTCTATCGCTATACTCAAATTGTATAAATTTGGATTATTTAAACGTCTTTTCAAAATCTAAAAATGTCTTTGATATTTTTAAGAGTTTTATGGATCCTAATTTTACTCATATTTTCAAATTTTGTGAACGCCCTTTGGCCACTACCACAAAATTGGACAAAAGGCACTTCTCTTCTCCGGGTTTATCCTAGTCTCGCTATTAAATATGATCCAAGATTCTTAAATTCATATACGGATCAATTAATAGAAACAGCCAAGCATCGGTTGCAAACATTTTTGAAAGATGAAAAACATCTTTCACCTAATGTTAAATTCCAAATTCCCGAGGATGAAGGAATTAATTCAATATTAACGTTATCGAGTATCCAGATTGAAATAACTAATAATAACCAAAGAGATCAGGATGATTTCGAGATAGTTATTGATTGGACTTATAATAATGAGATGAGGGAAGGAATTTCGTTGGGAACAGATGAATCATATGAATTGATAATACCAGATAAGAAAGAAGATGATAAAACAGAACTAATGGCACATTTGAAGGCACCGACAGTTTATGGAATTTTACATGGTCTTAACACATTTTCACAATTATTATATTACAGCCGATCAGAGGACAATTCAGGATTATTTCTTCCATTTGCACCTCATCATATAATTGACTTTCCAAAATTAATGCACCGTGGCCTCTTACTCGATACTTCACGGAACTTTTATCCAATTAAAGAAATTCTTAAAACTTTAGATGTGATGAGTTGGAATAAAATGAATGTATTTCATTGGCATATTGTGGATGCTACTAGTTGGCCAGTGGTTAGCGAAAAGTACCCAGAGTTAAGTGAGAAAGGAGCATATGACTCTAAGAAAATGATTTATACAAAACGAGATATCAGGATTGTTGATGAATATGCTAGGGCGGTACGTTTTATAATTTAATTGAAGAATTGGATATTAGAGGGTGGCCAATTATTTATAACTTTTATTTTAGCTCAGAATATGATGCAATCAATGTCTGGTTTTTTTTTTATGACATGATATATGAAATCACATAATAATCTAGATATTAATCGCATTATTTTACGAGTTAAAATAAAAGTTTCTAACAATAATTGGTCACTATCTGTGTTGACAATGTCTTCATCGATAACTTTACAATTTAATTATGATTATATAATTTTATTATTATTAATAATTTTAATTTAGAGGGGGATCAGGGTTATACCAGAGTTTGATATGCCGGGGCATACACATGCTATAGCCGCAAGCATGCCAGAAATGTACGTTGCGTTTTATTACAATTACTTAGTATTATATTTCTATGAATTGGATAATTCTATATTTTACATTGATTTATCTGTTTTTAATTAGTATGACATGTATAGATATGTATCCGGATTGGGATCAGGTAATTCTAAAATCAAATTAATTTATATTATTGTTTATTTTGAATAGTTGGTTAGTTACAGTTTAGTGTATGATATAAAAATGATTCCCCACCGGCAGGGTTTTATATAATAACTCATTACAACAATTGTATTGACACAAAAAGTATTCTAGTGAACCACCAAGTGGCCAATTAAACCCAGCTATACCCGAAACCTATACGTTTCTTAATGAATTGATTCCTGAGATAGCATCTTATTTTACTGACAAATTCTATCACGCTGGTGGTGATGAAGTAAACTTGAACTGTTGGGAATCACTTGTTCAACAGAATGAACATACCAAAGAATCCTTGTTAAATAAATTTGTGACCAGTCTCTATTCAATAATTACAAAGGAAGGGAAAACACCAATAACGTGGCAAGAAATGATAACGGAGCATAATTTAGAGTTACCGAAGGATACAGTGGTCCAGGTATGGAGGAATAGTACAATGGTGAAGGAGGTAGTGGAGAAAGGGTATAGAGTTGTGACTGGCAGTGGAGATTACTGGTATTTGGATTGTGGATATGGTGGATGGTATGGTAATAATGTTGAGGGGATAAGTTGGTAAGTATAAGAACCAAGGAAATGGTTGGAATAAATTTATTAGAATTAATTATTTGAAAAAGAGAGAATTAATTAATTTTTATGATTTCAATTAATTTAGGTGTGATCCATATAAAACATGGCAGAAGATATATTCGTATAATCCTATAGAAGAGTTATCGGATGAAGAAGCCAAATTTGTTATCGGAGGTATTTATTGAGGAAAACACACTTTTGTCGACTATTGTAACAATTAACTATTAACACAATTCCATCAATTACTTACTCAGGTGAA